CCGGGGGCTGATTTTGGCCGCCTGGGACAGAGCAGCTGGGGTGCTGCCGGGTAGGTCCCTGCAGCACCACACCTCAGTGCTGCGGGGACCAACCTGGCAGCACCCCAGCTGCGCTACCCCAGGTATCCCCAGCAGACCATGGAGACGCGGAGCAGCTTTTCTCGCCCCGGAGGACGCGGGCGGTGGGACCGCGGCGCATCTGGGCGTCCCACCACTAGCGTCCTCCGGGGCGAGAAAAGCCCCGTTTGTAACTGTGGATCTGACAGAAGTCGGATCCGCGTAACTCGGGGACTGCCTGTACTGTCCAAGACTGGGAATGAATACATCAAAAAATACACAGCTACTGCAATTTTTGCATATACACAGTCAGCACTGACAGGGCCAAATGGACTTGATGTAAGCAGGTGAAATCACATTCATTTCAACAGACTTGCACCCCATTTACTCTGAATTTGTCCCCAGGTATCCTAGCTCATCGCTCTGTGAAAGTGCAATCTGGAATACAAGAGGCACAGTCACCAATTTTAAAAGCTTTTACATGCTGCAGACGCACCTGAAACAAGGAGATGCTTCCAGATTATTTTTCATACATTTTACTGCACATGAAACAATCTTCTGGAAAATCTTGCAATACATTCTGTTTTTCTGTAAAATTGTTCTAGATAGTTGTGGACTGTTCACCCAGGAAAAACAATGTATACATGTATCTCCCAACCAACTGGAACCTGTATACTCTGATATTAATTACTGCATACATCAGTGTCACCTTATTCTGTGTGTTATTTAATACTGCCTTTACCTTGGAGAGCTCCATAAAAATAGGAGGGAAAATAATTCAGCAGAAATGCAATACCCTTCATAGCTCACTGATCCTTATGGGTCATAATTCCAGATTCATACAATTAAAGTCTCCTGTTACCCCAGGCTTTAAAAATACCTCCTTACATGTGGAAGTCATGTAATCAATCAATCTGGCAACCAATTTCTGCTTGAATTTTAGAAGCAACGGCTCACTGCTATAAGAAATACAGACAATGACATTTAAAGTAGATTTACTGCAGTCAGTGAAGTGGAATGATATTAATAATCCATCCCGATAGAGCAGGAGACTGGATTGGTGTGCAGCTTTTAGTATAGACTGCCTATCTTCTCTTTTAAACCAGCTTATACAAGAGCTCCTTGTCTATGTACATACATACATACACGAACGCAGGGCCTGGGACTCGTGGCCCAAGTCCTGGGACCACAAAGGGGAGAAAAGGGATGCGCCAAGGAGATGAGCAAGGGGAGCGTGTGCGCACAGGCCGAGAAGGCAGCAGGGAGCCTTAGTTGGGTGCATGCAGCATCTCCACCAGAGATAAGAGGCGAGACCCTGAGCCAGGGATGCAGATGCAGGGGAGGCTGGGGCTGGGGCAGGGGCTAACAGGACAACAGAGGGTGCTGGGAGCACTGGGCGTTCAGGGGGCTTTTCACATAAGGACATGGAATGGGAAGCGCTGAAGGGATGTGGGGCAAGGAGGGGGCTCTGGAGATTTGGTGAGGTGCTAGGAGAATGGGGGATATTAGATTTGAAGGAGATGTGGGCAGGGAGGGAAGTCTGGGATTTGCAGAGGACGGAGAGGCACCTAGGGATATCAGGATATGACAGAGGTCTCTCCATCTCCATATATATATATATATATATCTGTGTGTGTGTGTGTGTGTGTGTATGAGAAAGAGAAAGAGAAAGAGAAAGAGAGAGATTTCCTGTGGGACGACATAGTGACATCACCACGTCATTTGCGTCCGACTGCCTGTCTCTGCTTCTATCCTCAGCCACCCGGCTTCCTCCCTTCCCCCTCCTGTGCACGCCCCCTTACTCCTGTCTGCCAGTGAGTGGTATAGGGGTGGGGGTGCAGGCTGCAGGAGGGGGTTAGGGTGCAGAGTCTAGCCAGGAGGGAGGGTGCAGGAGCAGGCTGGAGGTAGGTGGTAGGGCATAGTGGCCGGGGGTTAGGGAGGCACAGGAGGGGCAAGCATAGCAGCTGGAGGGGGGTTTGCGTGTATAGCGGCTGGGGAGGGGGTTGGCAAGCTCCTGCAACCTCCCTTGCTCCTGCACCTCCACCCTGGCCAGACACTCTATCCACCCCCAACTGCTCCTGCCCCCTCCCACTGACCAGACCCCCTACTCCCAAGCCTGTTCTTGCACCCTACGTCCCACCCAGACCTTGTACTCTCCCCCCCTCCTGTACCCCACCCCACCCCCAGATCCTGCACCTCCGTCCCTATCCCACTCTTTGGCAGCCCTGTCCCTCATGCTGAACCCCTCACTTCATCCGAGAGTGTAAAGGGGGGGCCCACAAAAATCCACTAACCCTGGAACTCCGGAAGAGTTAATCTGGTCAGAGGCCTTGAACCTCAATCCTCCCTCCCTCCCACCATGGGGCTGAAGCACCAGAGGAGTGAAGCATTTTAATTGGGGGCCACATCAGTGAGGGTTGGGGTTTTTTGGAAGGGCTTTTTTTCCTTCTCACTTGTGTGGTCCCCAACTGATTTTTCCGTTGGTCAGTGGTCCCCGGCCCAAAAAAGATATACTACTCCTGCCATAAATAAAGACAATGTAGAAACCTGTGTGTGTTGGACACAATATTTCACTTTATTTAAAATGAAGCCTAGCCAACAAGGCCCCAGTTGGGGCTCAACCCCCATCTGGCTGCAGCATCCCGTTCCCGCCCTGGATCCTGGGGCAGGCCCTGCGGTTGAGCCCCCATTTGGCCACAGGAAGGGCTGGTGGCAGCCCCCTTCCTGCTTCGGCATGGGTAGAAGGGGAGGCCACGATCTGGCTGTGGCAGGCAGAGGGGGTGTTGGTGAGTGTAGTGAGCAGGGGGCCCAGCCTCCAAGTATATATAAAAATAACACCCTGAATTTCTATTGCTCCTTTCACTAGTGGATCACACGGCACATTAACACACACTTACCCAAACCCATATTCAGGAACACATTCCCCATTCCATTACAATGCAGCCACATTACAGCTGGAATATAACACCTGTGTCACAATGTACAGCATAAGGGTTAAAGGATAGGGTATGCAGCCGGCACTGTAGAAGGAATCTGAAGAAGGAAAATGTAATTAACTGTTTTTTAAAAAGGGAAGGACGTGGGTTATCACTTTACTCTTGTGTAAATATAATGGGCTCTGCAAAGAAACATAAGCCGTTACCTGTGAGCACGTAGTCATAGCGGTTCACATTATTCAGTTTAAGCCCTTCATACAGTTCGTGGAGTTCATCTGAATTTAACACCTGCCCCTTCCAGTGGGCATAACCTGAAAAAGGAAAGCCAAATGACTTACCCAAGTCCATTTTATATTTAGGATCACATATTATACGTGCAGGACTTCCCCACCACTCCCCAAAATAATGCTGCTGTCAAAAATGGGGTGAGTTATTAACAGAACATTCTCCACATTCTCTCAGTGCTCTGAAAAGGAACAGTTTGTGGATGGGGCTAGTCTGACCACTCTAGACACTCAAGCCTTGCATGTATCAGCAAAGCATGTAATGCACAAGCAGAGAATGCAAGCTCTCCCCTACAGCCTGCATCAGCCAGACCTGACCGGGAGGCCAGAGGTTAATTTTAGTTCTCATAGATTACTAATATATCTTTCATATTATACCAGTGCAATCTGACAGCAACTGGAGAGCTTGATGACAGACATATTTTTTGAGAATAAATTTTATACACTACAGCCACTCAGAATCAAGCACGCGCACACATACACAGAGAATGTGCTAGGCCCCCTACTCTCACTGCCTTACAGTGTAAGAGAGACATTCTCCATTTACTTTAGCAAACAGGCTTACGTGCTTCGGTCTATCCTGTAAGAGCTATACGAAAGTCAGACAGCAAGCAACTGCCACATTCAGTTGCACCCCGCATCAGAGAAAACACCCTTAATTTGACACGTGTTCATTAAAATCCTACAGTGAAGGAACATCTTATGTCAGTGCTCCACTACAGTAACTTTATTTCCATTAGCAGGATGATATCCTCAGCGACAGTGCCTCTGAATTTGGAGGCTTTGGGAGCAGCTCTGTGGATATCAGTTAGGGCTTCAGGAACATCTATTATGAGCAAAGAAATAACTTTCTGTGCACTTTTACCATCAAAAAGGGCGAAGCGTTATAAGTATGTATGTGAGGCTTGACTCAGCACCCATTGCAGTCAATGGAAAGAGCTGACATCAGTGGTCACTGAATCTGGCCTTTTGGACCTTTAAGGCAGCAGGTACCCAATATACATATGTTTACTGGCCCGGAACCTATCTCCAGAAGAGGCTGCCTCTATGTGCCATAATGTCACAGATCTCCCTCCGCCAACTGCAGCCCCATTTTGATAAAAGAGAGGGTGCTGCCTTCAGGAAATTCTGTAAGGGCCCCACAGCTTGAATACTTTCAACTGCCTCAGTCTGTATCTGCTGACCGTCAGTGCATTCTGCCACTGTCCTCGTGGCATTGGGACTGTGGAGAGAAAAGTGCTACTTGAGGCATCTTGCCCTCAAAAGCAAAAGGTATTTTTAAATGGTGCTGTAGGGGGTTAATTAGATGGCTTTGGCTTTGTTTTTTCTTCCAATTTCTGTTATTTCAGTATTAATTCAGGTTAATGCTTGGTATTAGGAATGTGACAGTGTAATCAGGTACACGGTTAATGGATTAGCTCGGGCTAATCGGTTAACCTTCACAATTACAAGGCTCCTGGGACTCACTGGGAGCTGGCTTAAAAGCAGTCTCCCTGAGTGCAATGGCTCCTGGTGAGTCAGCTCCCCCCCACCATGATACTGCCTCTGTATCAGAGGCAGCAGTGCGGGGGGAGAGGGGAACAAGTGGGAGCTGACACACGCAGGGAGCCAGCTCCCCTACTCCCCCTGCACATGACCATGTAACTGCTGACATTTTCAGCAGTTACATGATTAATTAAACTCATTTCAACATCCTTACTTGACATAAGCCCTTTTTGTGTATTTCTGTGTTTGCTCCTACAAATGCAAACACACAGGCTACGTCTACATTGGCCCCTTTTCCGGAAGGGGCATGTTAATTTCAGCGATCGTAATAGGGAAATCTGCGGGGGATTTAAATATCCCCCGCGGCATTTAAATAAAAATGTCCGCCGCTTTTGAAAGTAGGAATAAGATCCTCCGGAAAAGGGCGCTTTTTCCGGAGGATCGGGGCCAGTGTAGACGCTCTTTTCCGGCTTTTCTAAAAGCCGGAAAAAAGCGGCGGACATTTTTATTTAAATGCCGCGGGGGATATTTAAATCCCCCGCGGATTTCCCTATTGCGATAGCTGAAATTAACATGCCCCTTCCGGAAAAGGGGCCAGTGTAGACGTAGCCACACAGTAACTGAACAGCTGCAACCAGTCTGCTTCTTCCTACAGCTTGTGCTATAGCTTGATCTGATGCGTTAGGTGAGGATTTGACCTAGGGTCTGAAACACTACTAATGTGTGTACTGAAGGAGTCTTGCAAGTTATTAAAAGGAAGAAATTATTATTCTGTGTTTGCAGCCAAAAAAGTACAGTTTTGATGCCTAGTTTTGACAACAGCGGCTCTGCTACCTTTGAGCCCGTGCAAAAGGGGTCAGGACACAAAGTGCGCTCATTTTGGGATGTGACTAAATGGAGGCTACTGGCCCCTGTCATTTTTAGGGGGGCAATCCTGAAAAATAAAACAAGCTTTTCCTTTGAAGACATACTATCTAGGAAAAAAGCTTATTCCTTCAATTAAATACAACAATCAGCTGTTAAACAGCTTTGTTCTCTGCTTGGTCTGATGAGACAGCACCTGCAGGAACAAAAGTAAAGGATAGCAACACATGGAAAACTACAGAGGGACTACTACCATCACCATTCACCAGGCCAGGGTTGCACCAGGAAGAGAGCTATCAGGGTTTGTTTTTTTTTAAAACCCAGACTTAACATTTTTAACTAATATTTTTAAACACCAGTGTTGACAAGTGTAAAGCTCT